AGAGCGGCTGGGCCCGTGAGCCATGGCTGCTGAGCCTGTGCGTACGGAGCCTGTGCTCCACAACGGGAGAGGCCACAACAGTGAGAGGCCCGCGTACCGCAAAAAAAAAAAAAGAATAAAACATCTAAGAATAAATCTAACTAATGAGGTAAAAGACCTGTACTTGGCAAACCATACAATGCTGATGAAAGAAATTGAAGATGACACAAACAGATGGAAAGATATACTGTGTTCATGGATTAGAAGAATTAATATTGTAGTATTAATAATACTACTCAAGGTAATCTACAAATTCAATGCAATCCCTATCAAAATACTAATGGCATTTTTCAAAGAACTAGAACAAATAATTTTAAAATTCGTGTGGAAACACAAAAGACCCCAAATAGCCAAAACAATCTTGAGAAAAAAGAACAGAGCTGGAGGTATCATGCTCCTTGACTTCAGGCTATACCACAAAGCTACAGTAATCAAAACCATATAATACTGGCACAAAAACAAACACATAGATCAATGGAACAGAATAGAGAGCCCAGAAATAAACCCACACACCAGTGGTCAATTAATACATGACAAAGGAGGAAAGAACATACAATGGAGGAAAGACGGCCTCTTCAATAAATGGTGCTGGGAAAACTGGACAGCTACATGTAACAGAATGAAATTAGAGCATTCTCAACACTATATACAAAAATAAACTCAAAATGGATTAAATCCCTAAATGTAAGACCAGAAACCATAAAACTCCTAGAAGAAAACATTGTTAGAACACTCTTTGACATAAATCGTAGCAATATTTTTTTGGATCTGTCTCCTAAGGCAAAGGAGACAAAAGCAGAAATAAACAAACGGGACCTAATTAAACTTAAAAGATTTTGCACAGCAAAGAAAACCATCAACAAAATGAAAAGAAAACCTCCTGAATGGGAGAAAATATTTGCAAATGATACAGCCAGTAAGGGGTTAATATACAAAATATATATACAGCTCAAACAACTCAATATCAAAAAACAAACAACCTGGTTAAAAAAAGAACAGAAGACCCTGAATAGACATTTTTCCCAAAAAGGCATACAGATGGCCAACAGGCACATGAAAAGATGCTTAACATTGCTAATCATCAGAGACATGCAAATCAAAACCACAGTGAGATAGCACCTCACACCTGTCAGAATGGCTATCATCAAAAAGACCACAAATAACAAATGTTGGCAAGGATGTAGAGAAAGGGAACACTTGTGCACTGGTGGCGGGAATGTAAATTGGTGCAGCCACTTGGAAACCAGTATGGAGGTTCCTCAAAAAACTAAAAATAGAACCACCATACCATCCAGCAATTCTACTCCTGGGTATAAATCTGAAGAAAACAAAAATACTAATTAGAAAAAATATATGTATCCCAATGTTCACAGAAGCATTATTTACAAGAGCCAAGATATGGAAGCAATCTAAGTGTCCATCAACAGATGAATGGATAAAGAAGATATGAAACACATACACACACACACAATGGAATACTACTCAGCCATAAAAAAAGAAATTTTCCCATTTGCAACAACATGGATGGATCTGAAGGGTATTATGCTTAATGAAATAAGTCAGAAAAAGACAAATATTATATGTTATCACTTATATATGGAATCTAAAAAATAAAACAAACTAGTGGATATCACAAAAAAGAAACAGACTGTTACAGGTAACAAACTAGTGGTCACCAATGGGGAGAAGAAAGAGGGGCAAGATAGTGGTATGGAATTAAGAGGTACAAACTACTATGTACAAAATAAAGAAGCTACAGGGATATATTGTACAGCACAGGTAATATAGCCAATATTTCTCATAACTTTAAATGGGGTATAATCTATAAAAATTTTGAATCGTCATGTTGTATACCTGAAGCTAATATAATAATATTGGGGCTCTTGCATGTTACCACTACACCAGCAGTGCTGATGTAAACCACTATAATATTATAAATCAACTGCATCTCAATTAAAAAAAAAAGAGTTGACACAAGGGTTAGAATTAGCAAACAAGAATATTAAAGTAGTCATTATAACTATAACAGACAGACACACACACACACACACACACAAAAGAAAGGTAAAGTAGAGACATGGAAGATAAACAGTGCTGCCCAACAGAATTTTCAATGATGATGGAAATGTTCGATTCCTACAGGATCCAGTATGATAGCCAAGAGCCACAAGTGGCCAGTGAGCCCTCGAAGTCTGCCTAGTGCAACTGAGGAAATGAATTTGTTATTTTTTAACTTATTTAAATTTAACCACACATAGCTAGCCTCTACCATATTTGACATCACAACACTAGAAGGTCTAGGAAAAAAATATTATCATAGGGAGGCTCTCAGGGGAGTAATGGTTCCTTTTCCTCTTAGATTAGGATGATTAAATCTTATCAAAACTAAGCTTGCACAACCAAAAGTAATCTTAATGTCACTGACTTTACTTCTTTACCAATCATTCTATCCATGTTTTTGTACTAAACAATTCTATACATATGCTTACTGCTGCTAATATTACTGTAATTGTTGTTGCTGCTGCTGTTCATCTTCCTTTACACCTTCTTCTTGGGCATAAGGGATACCACAGTGCAGAAATATGAGAAGCCATGGTACATATTATCCTAAGCATTCCAGAGCTTTCAATATGCTCTGCAGTAGTACTTCATAGAGCATTGAGTACAAAGGTCTTTTCTTAGCAGGCATGCAAGAAATGCTTTTGACAATAAAAATCTGAGAAGACAACATCTGAGAAAAAGATTGACTCAATAAGTAACTCTCTAGTTTCAGTTTCTAATTAGGCAAAACATTTCAGTAAAAAAACGAAATTGAGGTATGCTCTCCACTGTGGACAACAGAAGTCAGAGGGAAAAAAAACGTACAAGAATTGTCTTCCTAATATGATGAGATATTTCGATACACAGAAGATATATGTTCTGTGTATCTGATGCTAAAAATTATGAGGCAGTAGAATTCCTATTATGGGAGATAATTTTTTTAAGGTCTAAATTTAGTTAATTTTAGTATTAATTTCTTGTCAACAGTTCTGGGTTACTTATAAGTAATGTGATTCTATGCATATAATGTATTTATTTCTTTTTTAAATTGAAGTATAGTTGATGTACAATATTATATGTTATAGGTGTACAATATTGTGATTCGTGATTTTTAAAGGTTATACTTCATTTATAGTTATTAAAAATATTGACTATATTCCTTGCATTGTACAATACATCCTTGTAGCTTATTTTATACATAATAGTTTATACCTCTCAATCCCCTACATGGGAGATCATTTTTAAATATTTCATCAAAAAACCACTCTGGAATGTTTACCTTAACTATTAGTAAAGGAAACAGCAGTAGTACGATCAGAAAACCAACAAGTATTTTACTGAGGAGGGGGAGATAAATACTTAATATAAAATTTAAACATGCTTGGATAATGTGACGAAGACACTTCTAAAATTGAGAAGGAAATAAATATACAACAAAATGCACGTATGTTTAAAAATTTCTCTAGACTTTTATAACCACCTGACCCACACCCAATTCGATGTGTATTTTATTAGCATTCATCCTTATCTGGTCTTTCTGAAGCAGTCTTCTTAGTTTTCATAGAAACAACAATTCTTTTTCTTGGCAGACTCAAATTTTATCAATTCATGTAATTTAATTTCCCAACCTTTATAAATCTATTAATTTATGTAACATAATTTCCCAATCTTTCAAGAGAAGTCTGTTATTTTTTTTAATCTGAAGTTAATTCAAGTAAAGGGGATAAATATACTTGTAGACTAACCAACCACGCAGGCGAGCTTTACCCTACAGCAATCACAAATCTGGAAACTTTGTACTAGGTAAACACCTTTAAACCCCATTTTAATTTTCCCCAGAAATGAACATAAAAATCTTAATCTCAAAAATTAAAGGATGAAATAAGAACAATAACAAAGGAAACAAAAGTGAAGAAATGTGAATTAGAAAGTAATTTTACAATATATACAAATATCAAGCCATTATATTGTACATCTGAAACTAATATATGTTAATTTAAAAAAAGAAAGTAGGAGGCAAGCCACAGATATTTAAAACAATACTCATATAAAAGGTTTTCATGATTAGAGTCTAATAATTTCTCTCCTTACACTGCAGCACTTCAGATGATCCTATAAGGAAACAAATATTCTTTTCTAATGTTAGTCATCTCTCACTTTACGGGATTTTCTTCTATCTATCACTCTAGAGGGAACAAAATCAAAGGACTTTCTTCGGATTTTCTTCTGATGGTCAAATTCACTAGAACTGTGGTTCCCAAACTTTGTCAAACATGGGTATCAATCCAGGGTTTGTTAAACCCAGCTTCCTGGGGTCCTCCCAGAGTTTCTAATCTAGCAGGTCTGAGGTGGTTCCCAAGAACTTGTGTTTCCAGGAAACTCTAAATTTGTTGGACACTGCTGGCTGGACTTTGAGAACCACTCCTCTGAGACTTCCAGAAAGGTTTACTTACAAGTGTGACCACTGCAATTCATATTTAGAAAAGCTAACAACGACAAAAATAAAAACCACACACGCGCGCAGAAGCAAACCTCTAGGAATCTACAGATACTCCCGTTTAGTCTGCATAGATCTGCTTTATCTGTACTATGAAAAGGTTTCTGGCATTTCAACACCTACCTAAACTGGTTCAGCCAAATTCTAGCCATTCTGTGTTATAGAAAAGCGCAGGCTGGGGTTGAGAAATACGTATTACTAAGTTGTCTAACAAGTATTTGCGCCTCCTTCTCTTAAGTAGAAAATGCTTCCAACGTGTATTTCAAAAGAAGTATCATCTAGTTCCCTCAAGGCAGAGCAAGGATTGTTTGCATAAATAACGTAAACCTGCTCAGTACAAGACTTTGAGCTACACACACCAGCACCAGTGAAAAAGCAAAGAAACAAATACAACCCGAAACTCCACCCTCCACCACCTTAGTACCTAAATCAGGTCCTCTCTTCCCTTCAGTTCCTGGGCACGAAAGGGGGCGTGTCGGAGCGCGCGGCGCCCACGTGACCGCTGAGAGCCCCTCGCGGCCAAGTCACGCGATCTGCCGTCATATCGGCTTATGCCGCCGGCCTCTGATTGGTTGGCGGCGCCGGTCGCCCCGAGCGTGGGGTCAGGCTACGCCCTTCCAGACCTGCCTGCTTGCTGACAGACGCGGTCCGGTAGCTGGAGCAGCCGGGGCACCGCAGGAACCGAATCGTCAGCCGGCAGCGGACCCTTTCTAGGTAGGGATGACAGGGGGGCGGGGAAAGGAGGGAATACACCTGAGCTGGAAGCGAGAGAAGAGGAGGAAAAGGGGGTGGAGAGACTAAGGCAAGACCCAGGTGGGGAAGTTGAGAGTGCGTCTGCCCCCTTCTTCAGCTTCCCGCAGGCGTTCGTTGACTGCCTCCTAGATGTAAGGCACTAGGCTGACTCTGGGGTTCTGTCTGCGAAACTTGACCTGAGGACTCCTGCGCTGACGGTTAGCAGAGACGGTTAGCAGAGAGACGGTTAGCAGAGACAGACGCCAGGTAGCCGGATGTCCTGAAAACAACCGGCTAGGCGGCGGCTGTGATGGGGAGCGTGCGGGACGCAGGGCACGCGCGCTGGCCGGGGCTGGCGGGAGGCTGGTTGTCGCCAGAGACCTCCAGATTAGGGGCCTCTGCCCGGACAGAGGGGGGGTATGTCAGGGCACAGGGAGAGGTGAAAGAAACAGACATGTGGATGGGCGTGAAAAATATGAAATGTTTGATATTGGCTATTGGAGATCTCTTATCCAAGGCAAGTTTGTCCACTGAACACTAATAAAGCATTCTGCGACGGATTTCCCTCTGTTCTTGAGGGGATTTTTTTTTTTTCTTTCAAGCAGCAAAGGAATTAAGTTGAAGCAAGCGCCAGTTACTGCAGTGTAATTAGGACGGAGGGACAACAATCCGCGGTTTGAGAAGACAAGAAGGAAAGGGAAATAATCTATTAGTTTAGCATCCTAATAGGAAGAATCGTGTCTGCTAGCATCCCTGTGTAACAGCAGAGCAAATTTGGAGGTGGTATAGGAGGTAGTTTCCAAACTGGGAAGTTTGTGGTAGCCAAACCACCTGTCTTTATATCACCTGTAGGTGATAACAACTTTATAACTACCTGTAGGCTACCTGTCTTTATATCACCATTGATTTTTTTTCTTTTCAAGTTTCTAATGATAAGCACCTAAAACTAAATACATGACCCTTGCTCTTTTACAGAGTGCTTTCCCATTCATTATGTAATATAATTAACATGGGATAATCAAAATTCCCCATCTGCATGCCTACACCTAGATATTACAATGTAGTAGCTAGGAGAACAGGCTCTGGAATATACATCCCAGCTGTTACTTGTTATTTGTTATTGTTACATTAGTTAACAACTTATTTAAATATTCCTGCCTTCATTTTCCCTATCTTTAAAATGGGGGTTATAGAAGTATCTACCTCATATAGTTGTGAGAATCAAGCGAGGTGATACATAAAAAGTGCTTTTTAAGTAATACCTGGTTTTCAATAAATGTTAGCTATTATACTAACAGTATATTATCTATACTTTTAAAGTAAAGCAGAATGACTCAAGTCATTTTAAGCCTAATTGTGTTTTGTTGATAACTATGTTTTAAGAAAAGGTTTCTTTGTTTCAGCCAAAGTAAAATAAAGTAAGTTTCTATTTGTTAGGGGTACTTAACTTAGGGTCTGTAGAGCCCCTGACTTTAGTGGATATAAACCCCTTAAAATTATATGCAAAATGGGCTTCCCTGGTGACGCAGTGGTTGAGAATCCACCTGCCAATGCAGGGGACACAGGTTCGAGCCTTGGTCCCAGAAGATCCCACATGCCGTGGAGCAACTAAGCCCATGTGCCATAACTGCTGAGCCTGCGCTCTAGAGCCCACGAGCCACAACTACTGAGCCCACGCGCCTCAACTACTGAAGCCTGCGTGCTCTAGGGCCTGCGTGCCGCAACTACTAAGCCCACATGCTGCAACTACTGAAGCCGGTGCACTTAGAGCCCGTGCTCCACAACCACAACAAGAGAAGCCACCACAATGCAAAACCCGAGCACTGCAACAAAGAGTAGCCCCCGCTCACCGCAACCAGAGAAAGCCCACGCGCAGCAACGAAGACCCAATGCAGCCAAAAAATTACAAATTAAAAAAAAAAATTCTGTGCAGAAGTATGTGAGTTTGTAGAGTCACTGAGAATTTAAAAATTTAAGGAGCTGAAGAGATAACTAATGAAGAAGCAGTAGAACTTGGTTCAAGTCCATGGATTTTGCAACCAGCCAGGGAGTGACTGAATCCCTTCTCCAGCATTTATTTACTTGATGACTCTGGGAATTTTCTGTGTCCAGCTTTCTTATAAGACAAGAATAATACTAGCACCTGACTTTTAGGGTATATCTTGAGAGGATTAAATGAGTTAATATTTACAATACCTCATATACAGTAAATATTGATATTAGAAATGAACAGTTATTTCTTTAAAACATCAAATGACATCTGTTTCTACTGTAGGTTAAAGTGATTTGGGCCCAGCTTTGGTTCCTGTAACAGTAGTAATAATAGCTCCTATTTGTTGATGAGCTTCCCCGTGTCAGATAGTACCACACCGCTATGTACTTCGTCTCTAAATCTTAGAACAATTCTGTAAAGTAGATATGCTTTCTCCATTTCTCAGATGTGGGTTTGAATATAAACTTCAAAATTGAATTGCAGTTTTGAGATCGTAATTGTTAGTGAATTCAAACTTTTTTTATGTTAGATGTCAGAAATGACAGCAATATATTTGTGAATACCTAATTACTACATCCCACAAATAGAATTAATTGAAACCAAAATCTGAAAACACTTAACAACAGGTTTCACCTCACAGTATCTCAACTGCCTCCAGATGGACGGAGGTTCATTCCCTCCTCCCTTCTAGGTGCTGGTTTACTGTCACAGCAGTTATGTGCAGGGCATATGCAAATCAACACAACTCGCATGGTCTTCAGTTAAAAGCAAAATTAAAGAGTTTTTTTATAATTAAGGACTGAGATCGTATTAAAGTTTTCACTTACATCGGATATTAAAGGTTGAATAAAGAAGATTCATGGTTAACGTTTGAGTTATTTTTGGCTACACGGTGCTGTCTCAAATACTATATGGAATTATGGCTGTTGGCACTATAGGTAACATGCAAGACTAGTTCACCAACTCTTACCAACCTTTAGTGGTATAGCAATATTCTTTTGAATTGTTGGGTGGTTCTTCATTGTTTATGTTTCTGGTATTACTTTATGTACTTAACCTGCTGCTCCCTCCTTTATGGCTTCAACTGTTGCGATACTACTAGGCTCCCTTTTGAACTTCAGATTCATATTTGCATGTAGTCTACTGCTTTCGCCTAGGAGCCCAGATGAGCCACAGCAAGTAGACTTAAGACCCAAACTAGGGACTTCCCTGGTGGCACAGTGGTTAAGAATCCACCTGCCAATGCATGGGACACGGGTTCGAGCCCTGGTCAGGGAAGATCCCACAGGCTGCGGAGCAACTAAGCCCGTGCTCCACCACTGCTGAGCCCACGTGCCACAACTGTTGAAGCCCACGCAGCTGGAGCCCCTGCTCCACAACAGGAGAAGCCACCGCAATGAGAAGCCCGTGCACCGCAATGAAGAGTAGCCCCTGCTCCCCGCAACTAAAGAAAGCCCGCGCGCAGCAACGAAGACCCAACTCAGCCAAAATAAATTAATTAATGAAAATTTTTTTTAAAAGACCCAAACTGAACCCATCATTCCTCGCACCCCCAAAGTCCCTGTTGCACCCAAAAGTCTGCTAGCTCCACAGTATTCCCAATTTTTTTTTTTTTTTTTTTTTTTTGCTGTACACGGGCCTCTCACTGTTGTGGCCTCTCCCGTTGCGGAGCACAGGCTCTGGACGCGCAGGATCAGCGGCCATGGCTCACGGGCCCAGCCGCTCTGCGGCATGTGGGATCTTCCCGGACCGGGGCGCGAACCCGTGTCCTCTGCACCGGCAGGCGGACTCTCAACCACAGCGCCACCAGGGAAGCCCCAGTATTCCCAATTTTGATTATCATAGCATCACCATCCATTCAGGCAAGGTAAAATCTCACAATCAACATAGATTTCTTTCTTTTTTTTTTAATTGAAGTATAGTTGATTTACAGTGTTTTGTTAGTTTCTGGTGTACAGCAAAGTGATTTAGTCATACATATGTATATTCTTTTTCATATTCTTTTCCATTATGGTTTATTACAGGATATTGAATATAGTTCCCTGTGCTATACAGTAGGAGCTTGTTGTTTATCCGTTCTATATATAATAGTTTGCATCTGCTAGTACCAAATTCCCACTAGATTTTTTTCTTCTTTCACACTCCAGTATCTAATCAGTTATCAAGTCCCATGGGTTATCTTACTTGCCAAGTCTCTGATGAATGTGTCTATTCTCACAGCTATTGCCTGAGGTCAGGCGGTCATCTTCTCTAGGTTAGTCTACCTCAGGAGCAACCTAGTCTCCCTGCTTCTCATCAGTATGATATATTCCTAATGGGCCACATCCCTTGAACCATGAATGGACCATGACCTTTCCATGGCTTTGCAGTTGCTATTTCTACTTGAAATAGCTATTCCTAACCTTTTTTTTTTCCTTCTGGTAATGTTCTTCAAAGCCCAAATCAAAATTCTTCACTATACAGCCTTCTGTTGTAAGCTGAGGTAGTTGTGTTGTCTTTTCTGATTTCACACAATTTGCATATATATACCTTTATTATAGCACTTGTCATATTGATGTAACTATTCATTTCTGTAGTTGCCTAACCTTGAACGTGGATTTAGACTATATCTTTTTAACCTTTGTATGCTCATCACCTAGTGCAGTGCTTTATACTTAATTGTTGTTTGAGTGAATTAGCAATATATGATGAAGGATGTATGTCAATATCTGCATTAGTTGATTAAAAATTTCTTTCTATGTCAATGTGAGAAA